GGTCCAACTAAAGCCGCCGGTCCTGTGGTCCGTCTTAGGACCGAGCTGGTCTTTTATTGGACGGACCAAAAGACTATCGGTCCTAGTAACGAACATATATAGCTTAATTTTTTGTGATTTGGTTAGGATTAGATTATGAGCACCATTATAAAATCTACAGTATACGAGGTTAATTTTTAGAGGCTTAGATAACGATAATAAATTTAAATTTATTATAATAACCTGTTTTTTTTAACAAGAATTAGATAGATAAATCTAATGTTTTTAATTAAAATGGTTGTCTAGATATACTTATAGTACAGGGTTCATGAAATATAGATGCAGACACGTGAAGACGTATGAGTAAGGATAAAAGTCTAGCATCATCACCTAAAAATTTCGCTATGTGATCTTATTAAAAAAAACTGTTTCGTGATTAGTTTAGGGTTAGGGTCCCACCAGTAGATTAGTATTGGTTTAAAGGGCTAGGATTATAGTAAAATTTCACGAGGAAAATTTTTTGTTAGTACCCAGAAGGCACTTTCATAGGCAAAATTTTGAGCTACAAGTGTTTTTTGGTTGTTTTGATTTTTGCGCTTCTTTTACGTTACACATGATCTTGAAATCTGATTGGCTAGCGAAATTAATTATGGAGTAGGGATGGGCCACTGGCAGGCATTTTTGAGTGACTGCGCAGTAATTCAGGCCAGCTTGCATGATTCTGGTCAGATTTATAACCCGGATCAGCCCGAAAACACGGAGGATTTGTATCACCTGATTAGCTCATAATTCTGGTCAAACTTGCAGATCGTTTGACCACATTGTTTTGTTTTAGATTTGGCTAAATGATCTGCAAATTTGACCAGAATTATTAACGATTGGTTCCCCTTCCGAGAGATCCTTCATAAATTCTGATTATTTTTTAAAACTTTGATCAAAGCTTTCACGGCAATCACTTAATCACTTTCAAGGAAAAGTTGGTTGATTTAAATAAAAAAAGTTTCATTGAAATTTATCAGGTGGTTGTCGAGAAAGCTTCGCTTAAAGGTTTGCCTAAATTTTTTAAACTTTGAACTAAGGTTTCCTTGATAATAACCTGATAAATTTCCACTTTTTTTTTATCAGAATTCTACAAACTAGTAGAATTCGAATAAAAAATTTTTTATCGAAATTTATTAGGTGGTTGTTGAGAAAACTTCGCTAAAAGTATTAAAAAATAGTCAAAATTTATGTGAAGGAGCTAGTGAGAAAGTGCAAACCTCGAAAACTGATAATGGGAGCCTAACTTTATACATACGAAGTAGATGTTTTATATATATACGTAATCATGAACCCTAGACTCCTAGAGGGTGCAGGCTGTGCAGCCTGCGCAGTAAATTCAACAAATCTTCGATTTGCCTATCCCTACGTCAAAAGCGCTATAATGACTTAGGACGCAACTGTTGACGTAGGACGTTGTCATAGGACACGATGGTTGACATAGAATGCGATATTGATATTTTTTATAAATTAATATATAATAACATAGGACGCAATGGTTATTTTTTTTTTCGTAACACACAGTCCTTAAAATAAACGAATTAAACTTCATACTCACTCTGGTAATTTATTTAATGATTAAATGATTGCAATTTAACCAGATTCTCTCGAAACACAGCCATTAAAATGACCAAATTAAACTTATTCTTGTAATTTATTGAATGATTAGTTACTATTGAGTTTATGGATTACTTTTTTTTAGTATAATCGTACATCCAACCAAATCAGTATCGGCTAGCTTTTATGTAATAAAACGAGTAATACTGTATACTAATAATTTAATGGATTCTATAATAATACACAATAATTAATATTCTGGTGCAACTTATGTGGCACTTAATTAGTCTAATAATGAGTCCGTTCAGTCTCATAATGATCGGTCCTATCAGTCCTAGACCGCAGTCCGGTCTAACTTTTTAAAAGACTACCAGTCTTTGGACCAAGACGGACCGGACGGACCGATTAACAGCCCTAATTACAATAAAATCCCAGATTATCTCCTTTTTCCTTATAACTCCTTAAGTTGTATGTTCGCGCATAAGTCTATAAAGATATGCTATTTAATATTAACGCATTCCATTATTTATATATTAAAACGGATAATTTTTTTGTTATAACAGACATCGGCTAAATTCTTAAGGTCTTTCGCTCCTCCAATAAGTTATTTAAATTTACGAATATTTGCTATTTAATTTTATATTTATTTTCTAGGCTTTAAATTATTTTTAATTAAGGGTTGACACAACAAAATCTATCTCGGTGGTTATGATCACAACCCAAATACCCAACTCATCCGTAGGTATGAATCTTGCCAATTAAAAAATATTCGAATAATATTTATTAGAATCTTTTTGTATAATATTGTTATTTTTATTTAACAATCACATCGCCCTGCTGTTTTTTCTAAATTAACATGATCCAATACTGCAGCTAGTCTTTTTTCTATGGTAGAAATACGCGTTATTTTTTTGTATTGAATGATTTGTTCTATATATTAGAACATCCACCATATTAGATTATCGCAGATACAGATTTAAGAATCTTCAGTTAGTAAAACAAATAAATAAATAAGCTTTCATTGAAAATTAATTTACATGGCAATTATTTGTTCATTTCACTTTATTGTAATTAGAACGCGTATATCCAACGAATTCGCGAAGTTTGAAGATATATTTTCATTTAATCTTCTGCTTTATTCACATAATTTTCTGGTTTTTGCTTTTTTGAATAAAGCCTTGTTGAATATTCTCAATTAATATATATTTTTAATATTTATTAAAGAAACCACAAGCTGAAAAAATAATGATTTATGTTTCTATGACTACTAAAAAAAATTCTGAAGGATCCTTAAAAGAGTAAAGTTTTTTTGCTTTACACGTAAAATACGTAATTCATTAAAGCTGCTTTATTGATATTGATATAAGTTAAGACCAAGTGACGTAGTCATCATTTATTGATCGGCGAAATTCAAAAAGACACATGCCGATTTCGAATCGAAGAAGATTAATAAATAATACATAACAGCTACACTATTCTGTTTGATCCATCAAATTTTCTTGGTTTTTGCTAGAAATAAAACTTCTCACATTAGAATGCATTTATTGCCAACCTTTTGTATGTAGATGTTGTAAGTGGAAACAGAATTTAAGTGGGTTCAGAATTCTTTAATTAAACTACCATTTTGGGCAGAATCAATCATATGTAAACTTATACCCTAACCATACTTTAACTAGGAAATTCCGAATCCACTTAAATTCCGTTTCCACTTACAACATAGATACGTGCCTAATTCTTTCCATTAGCTTTTTAATGACTGGTCCGAAAATATATTCCATATTACGATCGTCCACAATGATCACGAGGTCGCCATATTCATTGAACCGAAACAGATCTGATCTTTTGCCAGCTCTATGCGGAAGCTCTACTGAAACATAAATATGTCTTTGATTTTCCGTGGAAATTATGATTTTCTCATGATTTTTTGCACGCTCAGGGACCTTGGATATCTGGTAGTCTTTTATAATTTTTGTATAGTCCAAATCATAATCCAAATCATAATCCAAATCATAATCCAAATCATTATGGTTAAAGTCTTGCTCATATTCTTCCATCTCTTCTTTTGAATTGTCCTCTTTATTGGTTGGTAAAGATTGACCAATACCTATTCGAAGACACTCGGCTTCTTTCCAAGAAAATTCATCGTGATTCTCAATTTGGGAATTTTCCCTTTTCTTCATTCTTGTGTTTTTCATGTACTGAAACTTCATACATGACTTGAATACCTGATCTTTGATCTTACTTCGTTTAATAGGTTCCCCAGAAACTGTACAGCTTGCTGATAATAGCACTACATTTTGCTCATCATCCATAAAAGAGATCACCACATCTGATCCCGAGAACCTGTCTGGCTGGATTGCATAAGAACAATAATAAGTTGTATTGCTAACATATTTTGCTATGGGAACTCCTCTTGAAAAATTCGAAATTGTCATAAACTTCATCGTGGGAGTTATCCACGAAGGAAGATTAAAATTTTGACCATGTTTCCATTTATTAAGTTCTTCTCGTACATTACACCCACGTTTCTGGATCATTGCCGTAATAAAGGCTGCATCGAATTCATTGCCAATTGATGAAGTATTGTTGAGTCGGATAATGTTTTCAACGAAGACATCCACCAAAGTTTTCCCTCTTTTTATAAGAAAATTTTCGATGCCAGAGACGAGGTAAGATTCAAGTGTTGGGTTGATCATAATCTCATTATAAAAAGTATCTTCAGGGCGAAGAATTATGCATTCAGGTGACTGGCTAGGAATAATGCTGTGTTGAAGTAGTTCTATAGCATGCTTGAAATTATGAGTAAAAAACCCGAAGTCTAAGAACATCTAAAATTGCTGTTTCCGGATTGAAGTAATTTATACCCAAAGATTTACATGCGTTTTCCAAATATATTGCCATATCATGACTCATTCTTTCAAACCACGAACAAATAAGCTCTCGTATTTCTTGATCTTTCGTTCGATTTGTTGATTCACGCTCCGATATCAATTTCCGAACAAATGATGCACAATTTCGAGGTCGTCCCCTGAGGATATATCCCAAATAGTCGCGAGTTTTAGGCGTAACATCCGCTAGATCGATTACGGTATCCAGGTTCCGTAGTACATCATTTTGTGAAAGGAAGGGAAGCTTTAACACAATATGAGCGTGCAAACCTTGGACTTTTCCAACACTGGTAACGAGAGAAATTCCACTTGCCATATGCATGTAAGTGCCGACAATTAGACAGGTAACGGGAAGATGAGTAAGATGTTCAATGTAAGCCTGCAAGAGATTCCATTTTTTCCCTAATGATGAACTCCCATTGTATTCTCCATAGTCGGGTCTACAAAGGACTTGTGCCTCATCAAATATTAAGATTAGAGATTTCACATCAAGGCATTCGTTGATATATTTAATAAGCAAAGAAATATCATCTCTATTATATAAGCTATCTTGGGTTTTTTCTATTTGTTCGACATTAATTCTAAGCTGTGCAAAAGGCCATTCCTTTTTTGTTAAAATTTTTTCTTGAACAAGCATCTTGATAAGTAAAAGCCCACGTGAGATTATTGCTAAGTCCAGCATGTTAAATATTTTATTTTGTTCTTCAGGTTGGTCGTATTTTGGTGGTCTAGCTCTGATTCTTTCAAGCACTCGGCCCACAAAATCACCATATTGTCCTCCGCTAGGTGAAAAATCAATATATATTGACCAAAGTTGGGTAGAAATTCCAAATGCGGTCGATGTTTTTCCACCTCCTGAAACTCTAGCGAGAACAATTATGTCTTTCGGGTGGTTTATCAATTTTTTTTGGACAAGAGAAACCGTTTCTTGGAATTGGTAATCGTCGTAAAAGGGATTGAGATAATTCATTCCAGATTTTGATTCGTACGAAGGGAGACACAGATCTACCGTTGTGAAGGATTGTTTGGTTATGGTGCCGGGCAAGCTTATTTTGAAAAAAGAGGGTTCCGTCTTCAGTTTAAAACATGGGTCGTTTGATGAACCTGGAGAGTCACTTTCCTCTGCCTCAACGTGCCAAATAAAGGCGAGTGCGTCAACAAGCCGACCAATTGAAAAAACATTTATGTGTGGAAAGGTCTTTATAACTAAAATAAAGGTGGACATGAGTAAAAAATCATTTAAAAGAGCCATACATCTAGTGTAACCAACCTTTATTTTTAATTTCGATCATCGCCAAAACTAATACAGTAAAATTAAAAAAAGTAAACCAATTGAAATCCGCTTGTCATTGTCAATCGTAGACTTAAGCCTATAAAAAAGATACAGTCGACCCTCTCAGAACCGATCCTGTCAAAACCGATAACCTGCCAAAATCGGTTAAAAATCAATCCACCAG